AGATCAAATGAAAGTATCCGCAAAAAGTGAAGGGTTTGATTCTGCTCCTCCTTGATATGAAGGATGGGATACGAATACCAGTATATCATGTGTGAAAGGGAAAGGAACTGCACCAAAGCAAGATGACAGGAACAGGGCTTCAATTATCCTCTACCATGGAGCATCTTTGAAGTTCTGAGACTACAAGGCTAGGTACAGACATCACACACAAACTGGTTTAAGTGATCAGAAACTGCTTTAAACCTGTAACAGAACAGATGTTCAGTGCCCATAAACCAGTTTGAAAATGGCTGACACAAGTTTGAGATACTACATTCAACCAGGTTTATCAGACTTAACTGGTTTGGGTCAAACTGGTTTATGCAATGTCTGTCCCAGATCCCTTGCTGATTTAAGTTAAATCAGACACCCCAGAATCCTAGCATGCTCTCTGAGCTGGGCTAGGCTCTCTGCCCCACAGCAGAGTTGGTCCCTCCTCTCTACTCCCTGGCTGGAGCTCGGCACAGACTGAAGGTGCCCCTGCTCCCCCCCTCACCTCCCCATCCCTTCTGCCTTACAGACATCTCAGCATTAGCTAGCAGAGCTATGGGCTCACTCCATCCCATCTTCCAAGTCGCTGCAGATGTTGAACAAAATTGGCCCAAGGACCAACCCTTGGGTCACTTCAATTGATACCGGCAGCCAACCAGACATCAAGCCATTGATTACTACCCTTTAAGTCTATTGATCCAGCCAGTTTTCTGTCCACCTGACAGTCCATTCATCCAATTCGTACTTCTTTAGCTTGCTTGTGGAATATTGTGAGAGACCATATCAAAAGGCCTGCTAAAGTCAAGGTATATCATGTCTGCTGCACTCCTCACATCCACAAAGCCAGTCATCTTGTCATAGAAGGCAATCAGGTTGGTCAGGGCATGACTTGCCCTTGTTGGATCCATGATGACTGTTCTTAATCACCTTCTTCTCCTCCAAGTATTTAGAAATGGATTCCTTGAGGACCTGCTTCATGATTTTTCCAGGAACTGTGATGAGGCCAACTGGTCTGTAGTTCCCTGGATTCTCCTTTTTCCCTTTCTTAAAAATGGGCACTATATTTGCCTTTTTCCAATCATCTGGGACCTCTCCTTATCACCGCAAGTTTTCAAAGATAATAGCCAGTAGCTCTGCAATCAAATCAGCCAACTCCCTTAGCACCCTTGAGTGCATCCAGCTTTTCTGAATAGACTCCAGCCTGTTTTTTCCACTGTTGGCTGCTCACCTCCTCCCCAAACTGTGCTGCCAGCTGCAGTAATCTGGAAGCTGACCTTGCCTGCAAAGACTGAGGTAAAAAAAGGCATCGAGTAGTTCAGTCTTTTCTGCATTAGGTGCAAACAGAAGTGACATTTTTTGTCCAATTTGGCCACAGAAAGTGGTCTATAGCCATGACCAAACACACGTGCATGGCTGCAGACTGCTTCAAAAATGACTGATCATGTGAAAATCTGAACCCTTATTGCATGAGGGGTCAGATGAAGATGTTTTGAAACAGAGCGTTTCTCTGGTATACCCGTTAGCATACCCCCGGTATACCATTTAAACGCTAATGGCATGCATCTGAAGGCATGTCAACCATTTGGCGGGAAGTCCCCAGGCCTGTTAACCCAATTTAATTTAATTTTTTATCCCTACACAGCACTGACTACTGTAGTTAGAATCAACTCCTGAATGAAACAGAACTCTGGCAGGTGCCAAGTGATTTCTGAAGAATGTGCTAGCTCATGCCTGTTCTGCAGTAATCCCCAAGAAACTATTTGACAGTTCATTCAGAATAGTTGGATTTAGTTTGGTCTGGCTGCGTCCTCCACCTTCTACAACATTCTCCATCCTATACTCAGGATGCCCCTGTTCCAGGGGCTAAGGGCTGTTTGTGATGTAAGGCCATCACTCAGGGGATCTCCCATGTGCCAGGAAGATTAGGGTAGGGGTGGATCTAGCAGCTTTCTGGCCTTTTTACAGCAGTAGCATAAAGAAGCCAGAATGCAGCCTGGAATCAAGACTTGAGCTCTCTAAAGTCTTATTGTACTCTTGGGGTACTTGTATAAAGTGAGAGAAAAGGGAAGGATCCTCAGGACTCTTGACAGGACTGCAATTGATAGGACTTGTGGTGGAGGAAAACCTGGGGTGTCACTTTTTAGAATAATGAGGAAACACAAGCTCTATTAGTGATCCCCAGGCACCTAATCCATGCTCAAACCTGTGCTCCCACTTGCATGTGCAATGATTCTTAGAAGTCCCCTTTCTTATCATCACACCTTGGCCCTTTCAGCTGGCTAGGGGCTGATATTTGCTGGTGTAACCCAGGTACACCCAAGGGTGTGCCCTATTCTCAATCAGCTGGGATGGGTAGGCAGGAGGGGATGCTGTGAGAGGGATGCCAGAATTTCTAGCAGATCCCTCTGTCCTCAATAGTTAGCCCAAGCCCAAAGTTCTTAACTATGTACAATTTATTGAGTTACCAACACACACATCTATATAAAACTCTTTAAGATAGATATAATTACAGAAATAGATACAAATATACATATAAAGGTCTGTTAGCTGGAGGAAGTCGGCCCTAGGGAGGGCATTTGGGTAAGTACCCGTGCCTCAGGCCCAGAAGAGGGGTGGATCTCAGGACAGTCAATCCAGCAAGTTTATACCACAAGTGGGTTAGCTAATAAAGACATCCTTACAGAGCCCATTATACAGAATTAATACACCCAACTATTTATAACACCAACTACAACAATAGATACCGAACAGGAAACATAACTATACCAGATATCAGACGCACCCTATATGGGTTCCAACCACTTGGTCCCTCAAATGGGATAGGGTCTTCTTCTCCTAGGCCCATTCCCCCCAGGGTCCCTTGCCCAGGGGTGCCTCCCCTGTGGGACCCGGGTTCTCAGTAACTCACAGTCCTTCCTCTGGGGGCTGTCGATCTGGCTTCTGGGTCCCTACACCGTCTCAGGCCTCCTGGAGCCGTCAGCCTCAAGTTGAGGGTTCTTCCCTCTGGGCCCCGGGCTCCATGTTGGGCACCCAGAGAGCTCCTATGGGAGCTGAGCCCTCATTGACTCTGGTTCCCCAGCCTTATGCTAGGGGTCTTTCCCCTTCCCGGGCCCAGCTCTGGGCACCGGAGCTCTTTTAATTAAATGCTGAGCCACACTGTGGAGCTCTGGTTATCTGGCCTAGAGCTGGGGCTAACTTCAGCAGCTTCAAGCTGCTCCTATGGCCAACTCTCTGTGTGCCAACCTGAGCACTACGTGGGGCCCAAGCACCTTCGAGCTGCTCCCAGGGCCAATTCTCCATGCACCGATCGATGCACTGTCAAGGCTGAGGCAGGGTCCAGATGATGGTCTTTTCTAGAGCTCCTCTCTCCTTGCCATCCCTTGCTGCATCTGCCCAGAGTGCTGAGCACGCTGGGCTTTTATTTACAGCAGAGGCTCCGCCCCCGAAGTCATACAGACCTGCAAAGCGCAGTCTTCAATCAGGTCCAGGGGCTTCTCGCATCCCCTACCTCTGAGCAGGGGTGGGGCAAGCCCCTCCCAGCTGTTACCTGATTGGTGGAAATGTTCCACCAGTCTGAAGTGTCCTTCTCCAAGATGGGCTTTCCAGGCAAAAGCAGTGAGCCCGCCACACTGGCATTGGCAAATGGGTTATTTACTGGTTTGCCTGTATTGCAGTGAACTGGGTATGGTATCTGTGTGCTTGTTAATGGATGGAAGCAGAACTTCTCAAATCTGCATCGTAGGTCCTACATGCCAATAAAAATTTTCTTTTGCTTATCAAGGAGGAGGCTATAATTATCCCCATTGTTATTGTGAAGTGACCATAGCGTGCAGCAGGCTATGAACTGCCAAGTCCCACATGATTAGAGACTGGTTATAATATTATTATATCCACATATCTATTCATTAGCTCTTGAATATGAAAAACATGAAAAAGAGCGAGAAGAGTTAAAGGGCCAACATTCAGCTTCACAGTTACTGGGCCAAATATAGCCTGGGGTAACACCATTGCCACCCATGGAATGACACCAGAGACTAACTTGCCCTGTTGCTTTGCAAAGGTGTCAGGATTCCCTGCTGCAAAGTCCCATGAAATGCTTGGGGAAAAAATTCAGAGCATATATTCTATGGAAACCAGATGGTGTTTTGATTAACTATTACTTTCAATGATCTGCAAAGGAGTAGCAGGAGGGCCTTGTAGGGGTTTCGTGCAAGTGCCAATCTTATCTTAGATGCAATCAAACTTTGATTTTTTTTTTCACTCCTCCAAGCACACAGTCAGTGTTGACACTGACAGTGTAGCCATTGCTCTAAAAATCATGCAATTATTTTGTTTTATATTTAATATTATGGGGACCATAATTGCTCAGTTTCTGTAGCATTGACATTTGTATTAAGAACTCAGCAATAGTAATTTGGATACTGACTGGTTCAGAGTTCTTGCTTCAGTAGTGGGTCTGGTTTTCCTCTGATTTACCACGAGTGACTTTATACCATTCCACTGACTGGTTTGTTCAGGTGCAAGTGGGAGGAGGAGATGCTTGTAGCCTAGATTATCAGGCCCTTGCTGCAAAGATGAACTTTGCTAACTGTGCCTGTAATTAGATTTTGACAAATAAAGAACAACGCAGTCCCAGAGTTTGGGGAATAGATGGTTACTGCCAAACCACAATAAATGCCTTTGTCTGGAACTCATGAACTAGTAACATAGCTAGGGAGGGTGTGCCCTTGTCTAATATTCTCTTGCAGTAAATTCTCAGGGTCATTTTACAAGGTCTCAGATAGATGTCATGGAAAGAGCAGAGTAACAACTTTTTTATTTCTCTAAAGAAAGGAAGAGACAGTGGCACTCAAAGAACCAGATGGCATTGTTTTGTGTTCCTGTCTAGAAGGTGTGCAAGCACACTCCACTACCCACCTTGAGACAATGCTTTATTAACTGTGAGCCACACCTGAGAGAATTTGAGTTACCTCTACAGCTGAGCTCCAGCTGTACAGTTAGGATCAGGATCCCAACTTCCTCAAATTCAGAGAGTCTTAATGGTGATCTGATTCAGTTTTATCTTGATTGCAAATACCTGTGTGAAAACAGGAAAAGAAACAAGAGGCCATGTCTGCACAGCACCATAGGAGTGGCAGGAACTTTTGTGTCACAGAATCCAGTCCTCTGTATTTGCAGGCAACCATGTTCTATAATCAAGTTTAGAAAACCTGTGAAGTCTAATCTTAAAACTAATTAGATGTGGTCGGCCCTACTAAAGGCTGGCCCTGAATCTCACTGTTCTAATGATCAGAAGACTTCTTCTAATTTATGCATGCTCAGTTTATAGCCAACTGTACTTTGCTAACATTGTCCATTAGCTTAGATATTCTCCTTTCTGGATGGTTACCCCCCCGTATATTCATAGTCAGCCTCCTGGTCTTTATTTTGCTAGACTAAACAAGCCAAGCTGTATGATTTTCATCCTCTAAATAGTCTCTCCATCCTAGTGGCCCTTCCCTGTGTTTGTTCTGGTTTGTATAAATCTTTTCTGAACCTGGGTGACCAAAATTATACATATTATTCTAGGTATCACCAGTCCCTTCTACAATGGCACTAACTCTTCCATATATCTACTAGAATATCTTGTTGGATGCATCCTAAGTTTACATCTGCCTCTTTTCATAGCTACACTGTTTTCCTGTGATCAACTAATACACCAAGCTCTTTCTCCTTTTTTATTGTTTCCAACTGATGACCTTCAGCATACAGCAGAAATTCTTGCTTGTACATAAGTGCATGATATTGCATTGTGTGCTCTTGAATTTCATCCAATTTCTATTACTTCTGTTCTCAAGGTAATCTAGTTCTTCCTATCATGATCCTCCTCTGTACTGACATCTACTGATTTACTATCACCAGCGAATTTTGTAAGCATATACCTTTTTGCATCAACATCAATAATGCAAATATTAAATGATTAGTCTTGAGACTGATCCTTGAGAATAACTGCAGATTTTCCCCATTTTAAGAAGCCTTAAAATGTATGTTTGTTGCTCCACTGTGAGACTTCCTTTGAATAAGTGTAATTGCTACATACTCGGGCTCTGCAAAGCTTCAGGAGCTGATTCAGCGGAGATTTGGCCCGATTCAGTGGCCAAGTCTCTGAATCCGAATCAAATCAGGAGATCAATAAAAAGGTCCCAATTGATTCAAAGCTCTCCGAATCGATTTGGAAAAGATTCAGAGACCTTTGGAGATTCAGGCAGTCCCCGCTCACTGCCGCAGGGAACTGGACCAGGACTCCGTGCTGGTAAGTAAGGGGCGGAGGAAGGAGGGCTGGAGAAGGGGACCATGGAGGGACCCCTGCCAGGCCCTATCCCCTGCCTGCTCCCCAAGCCCCCCTGAGCACCCCCCAGCCCCTGCCCACTCTCGCAGCCACATTGATGGCTGCCCTGCTAGGCCCAAGCTCCCGGCTCCTTAAAAAAAAAAAAAAAAAAAAAAAAAAGGCCCACCGGCTGCTGGCAGGAAGGGAGGGAGATCCCCACTGCCCCACACTGCGTGGGAGGCTCTGTCAATCCCCTGCCCACTCTCTCCCCTCCCATGGCTGCCCTGCCTGCTCCAGCTCCCGGTTCTTTAAAAAAAGCTCCACACTCACTGGCTGCTACAGCAGCCATCAGGGCTTCTGGGGGCTCATAACAGAGGCCCCCCACGCAGCACGGGCAGCAGGGATTGCCACCCCAACCTGGCAGCAGCTGGTGAATTTGGGGCTTTTTTTTTTTTTTTTTTAAAGACCCGGGAGGGTGGGGCCCGGTGGGGGAGCGCAGCCATTGACAGGGCTAGGAGAGTGGGTGGGGGATGGGGCCTGTCCGATTCAGATATTCGGCCAATTTGTCAGCAGTTGAATCTCTGAATCAGATTCGGCTGAACCAATTCGGGACAGTGATTCAAATCACCAAATTGAATCACTGTCCACCGAATCAGCTGAATCCAAATCCAAAGTGAATACTAGATGCTTCGCACAGACCTACTACATACCTCATGCTAACACTTTAACCAATCTAGTTTCAAATGTCCAATGCAATGAAATATCTACTACTTTTTTAGCAAACCACTGCATAGTTGAATACATTACACCTATAGGAACAATATTTTTCTGATACTCAGCAGTGAACAGTTGATAGTCATTTCATTTCTACTAAGTTGTTCAGATGACTAACTCTTCATTGCTAGATGATAACAGAATACAGTATTACCCTGAGTTCTGTATATGCAGTAGACTATTTACTTACTGTTAAACCAGTGCATCTGAGGCCTTTCAGTAGAAGGACAAGGTTACAACACTGTACCGATGAAGAACAAATGTAGGAGCATATTAATATCTACCTATTCTGTTGGAATAGGTCAGGATAAAATCCCACTCCAAGGTCCTGATTCCAGATTATTTCCACAAAGTCACAGCAATGCAACTGATCTCACAAAGTCCATCTTGAAATAAAATAGCCATATAGTTCCTGACATGGGGAAAACAGACAACCAAGAAGCATAATTAATTTCAACCCATGTACATTTCTTACAAATTAGTCTTTTGGCCAGCAGGCGCAAGGTTCATCCCCACCCAGAAAGGAAAGAAGACTTAACACACTTAATTGGAGGCTGCTGCAAGATTCAATAGTCCTTGGCACTACAGAGATTAGTGACATGGGGTTGGAGGACTTGTACTTCCTGATTAATCCTTAGTTCTTCCCCATTCTATGACTTCTCAGAATGATGCCCAAAAATCTTTTTGAAATTCCCAGGTGTAGTGGTGATGACCCAAATGGGAAAAGAGCTTCTGCTGTAAATTCTCCAGTTTTGGAGGATGCTGAGGAGATTGCCTGTTTTCTGTGGCTTCCTTTCCACACAGCCATAGCCCTGTTTTAAAATCTGTTCCTGGAGAGCAGTTAGGCATAAATCAGTTTCTGGAGATTTTGTATTTGTCCCCCTGCCCCCTGGTTATGTCTGAATTTACAAGTACATGATAATTACTGTGGACTTTAGCCAGTAGAGGCTGTTAGCTATAATCTCTTAATCCTGACAGTCAAGGTTTAACAATGTTTGTCACAGTACACCTCCAGCCCCTGCGTCATCTCCTCCAGAGCATCTCATTTGGACCTCAAGACTCTAGCCAACATCTTTCCTGGAATAGGAACCCCTATTCCCTTCCCTCTAGATTTTAGGTTTCAGTCCCCATGCAATCACTGTCAATCTCAGATGTAAAGTTAGCTCAGCACCTTCACTTCTGTTCTCTCTCAGGTGAGTGGGCGAGTCCACTAACTTTTAAAATCTGGAATCACTCAAAAACTAGCTTACGGTCTCAAGTCAATTTGGTTGGACTCAAATTAGATGTCAGTAGTACACATCATAATGTATAATGGCTGGAAGACTGATGGGTAAAATAGCAGTGTTGCTGCTAGGAAAATGTTTTAGGACAGTACTTGTTTGAAACATTGCCTTGTACACTGCACAGGTGGGTAAGGGGAAAATAATCTAAAACAGCATCAAATATATCTGTTCTTCAGTTAGGCCAGGGCTGTCCAACTGGTGGCCCATGGGCCACACGTGGCTTCCCTTCCAAAGGGTTAGCATAAAGCCTACAGGCACCTGCCCCGCCACTCCTCCCCCCCTCGCCCCAGGTGCTCCTGCCCCTGTAGCTGGGAGAGTGCTGCAATGCCTGAGCTGCTTGTATGGCAGAGGCAGTTGGGCTACCTCTGGTAGGTATGTGAGGTGGGTGGTACACGCAGCTGGGAGGGAGCTAGGCTGCCAGTGCTGCAGGGCCGACTGTGCGGTGCACATGGCTGGGTAGGGAGAGAGCCAGGCTTCCCACTTTGCATATGGCGAGAAGGTGCTAGGCAACCCATGGGTGGTGGGGAGCCGGGGGGGACAGAAGTTGTCAGATGTCTGGTTTCACGAGATCCCCTTTTGACACTGATTGCAAACATACATATCTTGAATGTCATAAAGTTTAAAAATAAAATTGAACTTTCTGAATTCTGACTACCTCCCCATTTCTTTTCCTTCTCTTGCCTTATCCCTCTGCTCAGTTCTTGGCTTTCTATTTTTGGAGTGAAACTTCTCTGTCCTGATTTTTTTTTTCTGTCAATACTTGCTTTTTTTCTTCTCATGGATGAGTGGAGCTTTATTGGCAGAAAAAGGGAATAGAGCCCAAAAGAAGCAGTGGCAGCAAATGCTGGCAGCAAGACGTGCACACCAGATAAAGAACACTGCTTGCCCTTGGCATTGGCTTCACTCATTCAGTTTTGCCACTAGCCTGACCAAACTGCTTAGGCTTTTTGCAGTTGTACATGAATCCTACGAAGTCCCTGTCTGATCCAGCATTGGTTGATAAGTTATCTGTTGCTACCTCTTTCAGTCAAATGCTTTATTAAGAGATCTTTTAAGTCCTCTTTTTTATGTCTTTATGTTTTAAATTCTGAACAGAATAATATTCAAAGAGAAGATTGTTCAGGGGAAGTCAAGAATACAAAAAATAAAAGAACTTTCAGACTATGTGTTTGTACTGGCCCTGATTAAAAGTATGGTGTTGAAATATCTGAAACAGTATATGAAAGTGACTTTGAAAAAGCTTCTCTTGAAGAAAAAAAAAGAAGAAAGCTTAGGAAGGATGTTTGACTTAGCTTTGTTAGTTTGTGTGTGTGGGGGTAATTAATATAAACTCCCAATGGTATTTATGTAAATTATTATTATTGTTAAATATTTCGATTTATATCCCATCCCATCCAAAAATGGTCCAGGATGGCTCACTATAAATTAGACAGCCCACAAGATAAGAAACATGGCTGATTTTTTGTGAGTTTGGGTTTGCTGGTAGTGTGTATGAAGATGGCCGTTAGTATGTATGTATGGTTATATGTATATGTTTGTCTAGCCCTTTGAAGCTTCATACCTAGAAAAATAGCAATGATGAGGAGGAAGAGGGTGGCGAGGGGTTACCTCGTTCTAGATGGCTGGTAAAACAAAGTTTCTTAAAAACTGGCATAAAAAGTCCTGTTTTGGGACAGATACCCAATAATCTAAGAACTGACAAATCTGAGTACTGTACCCACTAGGCATCTATGCAGATGATAGGTATTCTCATTTCAAATTCATTGTTTCAGACTTTCTTTGTAATGATTTGCTCTAAATAAATGCATGTTGTAAGGAAATAATAAACTGAGCTAAACTCAGCCAAGATGGTCACAGTACGTTACAAAGGGATTGCAAACTAAAATCCTGGTCCAGAGGGGAGGGGAACATGGGTTCCCATCCCAAGAAAGATTCTGGCTAGAGGTGAGACCTACGCAGGCGGTGGAGGTGAACTTATAAAACTGAAACTGTGACATGCAGTTCATTAAACCTTGATGGCCTGGAGCAAGACACCCTCACTAACAGCTTCTTCCTACAAAAGTTCAAAGCAACTATTTGTATCAGTAATATGCCTGTAGCTCAAACACAATCATAAAAGGAGCTGGAGACAAGCCTTGCTAGAAAGCCAATAAACTCTTCTCCAGAAACTGATGTATGCATGATATTGCTCTCAAGTAATAGCTTTTTTTTCTTAAAAGCTATAACAGTGGGATACATTACAAGCATTTCTGCAGTTCCTGCTTCTATTCTGACCTATTACGTCTGTTTTTTCACATTCCCTATTAAAAAAAAAATTAGCATGGCTTCTGTCTTAAATTATCTCCACTTCAGCTAATTGATGTTAGAGTTAAATAGCCAAGCACAGTATTTTAGTTTTGGAGCATCTGTATGAAATAAAAAAGCTGATCAGAAAGACTGTAGCTTTGTCAACAAATGAAGCAAGACAGTTGGATTTCCAAGAGGGTGATAATCCCTGCTTAGCTTTCACTTTCAGAACAAGACAGACGCATTTAAAAAAAAGTGTTAGTTGAGTTTGTGGTACATATCATAGGAAAAAGATGGCTGTCTTTCACAACACACCAAACAGAGGGAGCCTGAGTGTAACCAAAACAAATCAAACAATGAGGTCCCTAAGAAACCAATAATTTCAATATAGCAGAGAACAATAAAATACATTTTAAAAACATCTTTCCCTTATCCAGAGAATGGAAAACGTTTTCCCTTTCATAGTCTCTGTGTTAAAGCAAAATGATCTAGCTGGAATGGGATTCAAAACTTTTTCCCTCCCAGAGAGGCACCTAAGCATTGTCACCAACAACAAGACTAGCAGACTTACTCAAATACAAGATCCCCCCCGCAATAATAAGATTCTACACACAGAAAATGTATAAGTTTATTATAATTTTCCATGTGTGGAATCTAATTATTGGAGGATCATCTTAAATGTCTCCCTCCCCGCTACTACAGGTGGTGGGGAAGAAAAGTGATGAGGAGGCAGTAGTGGGGCAGGTGTTTGAGAACAGACAGTGGGAGAGGCAGTAGGGGGCAGGGGATAGGGGGCAGACAGTGAGGGAGGCAGGCAGCTTTTCCTCTGCTGCCCACCCCCCTCCCCGCACCATACCAGCCCCTCCACCACAGCCTCAGGTTGTCCCAATTCCCGCTTTTCCCGTTTCCCCCCTCCATAACACTTTTATCACCGACGGCCTCAGGTCCCTGCCCCACCTCCTCCCATCTCTCCCCCTCCTGAAGTCTCTCTCCCCCTGCCTGCCCCTCAGCCCTCCACCCTGATCTGTGCTCTGAACCAGCTTCTGTCCCTGCTGCAGCCCAGGGCATGGAGCATGGCTCCAGCCTGCCCCATGCCAGCAGTGTGGAGCTGACGCTGCTATTCTAGCCTGGCCCCAGAGCAGCAGCAGCAGATCTCTGCCACTACTGCTACAGGGCTGGAACAGCAGTACCGGCTCCACACTGCTGCTGAGTAAATATGGGAGTTTTGTTGAAGTGGATGGAAAGGCTTGCTAGAATAAAGGTTGCAGTTTAGTCTATCTTGCCAGAACACAAGCCTGAAAAATGATGTGCTCTTCAGATGCTGGAGAGAGGTGAGGAGATTTGGGGACATTAATATATAGATTTCACCAGAGACTTAATGCTCACATCTCAGTTCCAACCAGTTTCTACTGACATCCAAAAGCATATTTTCTCCAAGTAACAGCACAGCTGCCATAGACACATTACCCAAGTGCTTAAACACAGATTCCTAAAACTTATGTTCTGCCTGGCCCATTCATTTAGCTTTTTCTGGAAAAAGATGAGAACCTTCTTAAGTGAGTCAATTAAGAACTAGCCAAATTCTTAATGTTTTCACAAACTAAATATATAGTTAATTAGCTGGGTCCACACAGACATATTAGAAGACACCTTCTTGAACTTTATCCAGTAACACACCTGGTCAGGGGACAGCTAAAGTTACTTGCATTCCTGGATTTACAGCCAAATCTTTTGCATAACAGTTCATCTGAATTCAGCCTTCAGTCTCTTGAGGAGTCTTAAGCTGTGCATCTATTTTCTCTTGGGGAAAATCACTCTCAAACTATCCTTATAGCGTTTATCCACTGGCAAACTCTCCTTAACAAGATAAGTTCTAGAGTTATTTCTTGGCTAGGACAGATCTCAAACTGCAAACAGTACTTGCTCGGTCTCTCTCTCTTCATTCTTTCTTTCAGCATTACGTGATAATTGACACCTCTTCCCTAGCTCTGCTTTCATTTAGCAAGTTGACAACGCTTTTGTAGTATTTCATAAATTCCATCTGAACATCTTCAGGGTCTTCTTCCAGGCTGGACTGTATTAGTTTCAGTTTGTTCAGCGGTGCAGCTTTGAAGTGAAGCAAAAAAATAATTAGATATATTCATTTTGACAAAGAAATACACTTATAGTTTTGAGTTCATAGGACAGTTCACACTGAACAAGCCATTTGGAATCCTTTTCTGCACAAGTGCTGATGTCCAGCATGATAGATAATATTAAACATGTGATGCATCGTCACTACATAGTAATTCAGTTAATCTCTTTGATGGATTAAATCCCTTCAGCCTTTGTTGTCAAGACTGACATTTTTGCTTTTGAGTTTTAGAAGAAAACTTTCCCTTTCCACTTTGGATAAGGAGCACTGATGGAAAATAATTATAATAAACATATTGGACAGGTTAAGGAAAGTTTTGTTTGCTGTAATGCGGAAGTGATTCCTGAGACTCTTCTATTCCAGTCTGACAATTCTGTGCCATTTTTCGTGCATGCACTTAACATTTTCCAGGATGACTATTTAGTTTTATTGTGCTACTAGCAAATTGCCCATCATGAATGATGGAGGGTGCAGAACGGAGTACTACCACCCAGCATCCTGTGGGGGCGCTGCCACCGGAAGCCCCACCTTCCCCTTCCTCTCTGCCGGCTGTTGCTTGAAGGGGAAGGGGGAAGGGGAGGGGAGGCGGCACAGCTCAGCGGCTCCCTTGCACCCTCTGGCTGTAATGCTTTGGGCCCTCGCAGCCAATCGGCACATGACCTCTCGAAGGTACAGGCGCAGTTGGCCCAGAGTGTTATGGACAGACAGACAGACAAAGGCTTTTATTATATTAGAATAAACATTTATAGCCTTTCCGTAGAATACAGCAATCGACACTATCAGGCCTCTATGATTCAGACAATGTCTTTTCCTCTACGTTCCTTAATGTTAGTCATTGCTAGTGGCAGGTTTGAAACTCCTGTAGTAAAGCCAAGTTAAAAGGGTTTTTTTTGAGAAGGTCTCTCTCTGTCTCATGCATGCAGTCATCTTCCTCCATCAGAAAAGCTGAGGGATGATTTTGCTTCTCACAATGTGCAACTCAGAGCAATTCCTTTGGAATCAGTTATAGTGGGGTGACAAATTAAAAGAGGAGCATCACGTTGTTTCATTTGTAATTCATCTCCGTTTCCAGCTCCACGAAGCAATGTATTCTCCTGAGGACCAAGTAGCCTCAAATAATTTTTATATAGAAGTATGTGCATTACCTTTAAACTAGCTTCGCCAGGGGATGGGGCCACAGGGGGAAATGATGACACTTCCCAGCCACGACAGGTGACGAGCACAAAAAGTACCCAGGTAAGTGGCAGGGGTCCAGATAGTCCTGGGTTCAGGGGGGCGAAGCATACACCCACAGGAGCCCTTAAATGCCTCTACACTAATGCACATAGTATGGGGAACAAGCAGGACGAACTTGCCCTCCTGCTAGCTAACACAAACCCGGACATAGTGGGGCTCACTGAAACGTGGTGGGATTCAACCCACGACTGGGCGGTAAACAACAAGGGCTACAGACTGTACAGGAGGGATAGAACAGGGAGGAAAGGCAGGGGTGTGGTGCTCTACATCAAAGAGCAATA